GCCTAATGTAGGCTCCTCATCAGAGATTGCCTTGCTGTCACCTTCCCCTGGCAGTTAAAAGCCCCCAGTATCATCCAAGACAGCAAAGAAAAGCAAAGGATGGTGACCAGGCTTGTTCCTGGAATCTGTCATACCACTGGGGACACTTTTTCAGTACAGAGGTTTTGTCTGAGGGCATGAGGTTGCTGTGAAAGAGAGCTGGAGAGGGTGCAGTGCTGTGATGGGGGACTGTCCAGGAGAGAGACAAAGTGCCCAAATCCTACTCTCCTACTCCTGCTGGCCTCGTGCTTTTGCAGAATGAGAAGATTAGGGGAGGAGGGCAGAAAATTCAGTAAACAACCCCAAAAAATAACTAGGAGATCTAGTTTCCCATGGCTCACAGGGTGAGTGGTGGGGTACCCAGAATCTACAGTGATTCCCTGGGGAGTGCAACAATTCCCACCACAAGGGCTGGGATGTTTTTTTCTTACCAGGCAGTTTACAGACACTGACTAATCCACATGTTTTCCCCTGGGGATAGTCAGTAACCCTGGGAGAGAGCTCTGCTCAGTATTTCAGGGCAGCCTGCTATTTCCAGTGGTGGAAAGAGCAGGGCATGGTCACAGATGGAGGAGAGGAGGAAAGGACTATCAGATAGAAAGTGTTCTTCCTCTCACTAGAGCAGGGGACAGGTTCTCAGCAGGTTTGGCCCTTCCCAGGCTATGTAAGATGCTCCCAGCACACACTCTGGTGTCCTCACCCTGCTCAAATGCTGATTGTCATTGCTGATTACTCCTGAAGAGTTGTTGAGTGTGTCTATGTGTATGTTTTCAGGCCTTTCTTTTGTAACTGTTTGCAATATTACAACCAAATGTTTATTTTCCAATGTCTGGTAACACCACCTCTGTCTGGCCTTGCAGGTGCTTAGGAGCTGTGAGGTTTTGGGGATAACCTGCAGCCCCTACAGCAGAAGACAGTGACCCCTGAAAGCAAGGCAGGCAGAACCAACAAGAAGATGAAGAGAGCAAGGCAAGATGAGAAAACTTTTGGTTTCCTATGGAGCTCTTTTGAAAACAATTACCACAGAGTGCAAGCACTGCTGTCAGACAGGGTATTGTGAGGGATTTGGGTGGGGAGGGAGTAGGTAGCAGTGCTTCAGCTCTGCAGGGGACACAAGGTGTAGAGGGGATGCAGGGCCACTGGTGAGGCAAACGTCCCTAGGACTGTGGATACAGCATTGCTTAGGATCTGTGTGGCACCTGGGGGCAAGCCCTGAGGAGAACTGGAGAGAAAGGGCTGCTGTGGTCACAGCTGGGGACAGCAACTGTGCTGGTGTCAGCCTCCTGCTCAAATCAGGAACAACAAAAT